GAACCCTTTATTCCCCCCCCCCCCTTTTTTTTTTTTGAGAGATTTTTGCTATAGGGTGCATACACTTGCTGGAGAGACAGAGAGAGAGAAAGTGAGAAAGTGAGAAATCACTTCCCAGGGGGATGGCCACCATACCATAATCCATTCTCTTCCATTCTCCTCTTGGGATTTTGGGCACGTACGCACCTGCACCTGGCATGAGTTTCAAGCTGCCAGGTCTACATTGGCCATATGGGAGACCAGCATCTTAATCACCACACCACCTGCTGTACCGGAGAGCACATTCTTTACGAGTTCCTGGGTTCATAAGAGATGTCCTATGTCTCTCTTCCTCATTTTAATGATTAGAGTCCTTCTCAAGCTGACCTTTGTCCTGACCACTTAATTTACACTCATGATACCTATGTACACAAAGCCTGGACTTTAAAATTTTTTAAAGCCCATACTTAAAAAAAGGAACTGCGACCAAAAATAGTTAGACCTGTCTGTCAGTACATCGCTGTGACATAAAGGAATGGCTAGTGTAGCAGTAGATAGAGAACAGGATCAAACAACAGAAATCAGCACACTGGGGAGAGTTCCAGGTGGCAAACAAGGGAGACCAACCCTAGTTAATTACTAAGAAAAAATACAATGAAAGCTATTGGGTAACTCAAGAATCAGAACACAGACTGAAGAACCAGGTTCAAAATACAAGTAGAAATCAGGAAATATAAGTAACCAGAATGCCTGCCATGGCCACATGCCAGGAGGAGCCTAATTACATACAAACGCTACTGAATTTTAGATGCCACCTCTCACACAGGCCCACTCAGGGAACCCTACCTAAATCTACTGACAACCGCCACTGAATGCTTCATGCCACAGCCACCACCAACACTACCACGGCAAAAATGTCTAAGCTGACACTGCTTCTTTAAGTAACTCCCTGAGGACTCAGATTTGAGCAGGAGAATCTTTGGCTGAGGTTAGCAAATGGCAAGGGAAAACAAATACCTGACATTTTACCTCTGTGATGGGGTGAGCTCCACTTTTCCTCAAGATGCACAACATTCCCAAACGTGGAATGTTAATGGGAGCCAGCTGATGGCATGGTGGATAAGGCAGCTAGATCTCACATGGCTAACAGCATGGTTCGAGTCAGTGACCAGAAGTCTTGCCAGTCATGTGAGATGCTTCCCAAAATCCTGAAAGGATAGAGAAGGGATTGCAGTATGACCATCCCCCATAGGGGATGCTTTCTCATTGTGTGTGTGTGTCTGTGTGTGTGTTTCTATCTCTCTCTCTAGTGTAATAATGATAAATAAAATTAAATAAGTAATTTTTTTAAAAAAGAAAGGAAAAGAAAAATGTGCCTCCTCTTACCTGCTGCAGCTCACTGAGGCAGAAGCTATCTGTGACCTGCTCACATCCCCTCAGTCCATACCAGGACTTCCCTGTACCCCAACCTGACTTTCAAATGGAGCCTTCCAGTTTCTTTGCCTAAGGCCATTCTCTGCCCCCACCCCCTGCCTACCAGCCCAAGAATGTATAGTGAGCCCACCAGTCCAAAAATGCATAGAAATCAGAACAGCCCAATATCACAGGAGCTGATGACCAAATAAAAAACAAATCTAGGGTCCAGCAGATAGTGTAATGGCTACGTCGCTGGATTCCCATGTAGTCGACTGTGGTTTGAGTCCCAGACCCAGTGACTTGAACTCATGCTGGGTGCATGTGCATGCATGCCCAAGATCCCAAAGAGAAGAATGGAGGAGAATGGATTGTGGCATTGTGTGTGGGGGGTTATTTTTCCCTTTCTATCTCTGTCTCTCTCTATCTTTCTGGCGAGTACACATGCCCTATAGCAAAAACCTCTCCCCTACCCCCCAAAAAATCTAACTTATAAGGCTATGATTTATTTAAAGAATTATTGTGGGGGTGGAGGAATCTTATATCCCTGTTATTGCCATAGGGAGAACTGTTGACCATAAGATCTGCAAGCATCTCCAGGACTAGGCAAAGGGCATTTGCTTTTATAGAGGAGGAAGTAAGGCTAGAACAAACCTGATGTAGGAAAAGGGATAAAAGAGTGGCAGATCCGATAGCAGATCAGAGAACGCTTTATCCTGAGAACATCTTCTTTCCCAGGAGGGCCCCATACAGATAGGCTCTCTTCTGGCTCAGGCTGAGGGTGGGATGAATCTCAGGGGCTTGAAGGAAGAAAAGAAGCATAAAAGTCTGGTTAAGATGCAGCTACTTCTGATCAATCCGTGGGCACAAGTCGTTCAGCCAATCATCCCTGAGGCATGAGGAAATTTGGAGGGTGTGCATCTGGCCTTGTTACAGGTAAACCAGGAGACATCGTTATCAGGCTTATCGAAGTCCCACAGGGAAGGAAAGTTCCTTGCAGTAGGCTTTTTTTCGGAATGCAAAAATGTGGTGAGATTCTTAGCCTTCGCTGTTTTCCAGAATCACAGGGCTTAGATAAAGTTCAATGCTGTCAGTGGATAGGAGAACACCGAGGCTGTTTCTGCGTGTCTTCCCAGGTATCAGTGGGATCCTTGCAATGTTTACTGGTTTGATCCACATTCCCTGCTCCCCTGCTAGGTTTCCTGGATCATCTCCCAATAACCGTTTTTACTGGAGTCTGTCTCAGAGGCTAGGGGCACCCAAAATGAGACATTCACAAAACCATGGATCCTGGACACAGATGACTGAGGGACCAAGAGAACACCCATGAGGGAAGGGATCAGGCAGGGGCTGTGCTGACCTGGGGACCTCCTGCCCAGCGCAATGACTCACCGTTCACTGGTTTACAGTTGTTCCCACGGGACATGCAAGACCAGTGCAGATACATCCTTGGCATGTCAAACGAAGCCAGGAATTCACATTTACAGTTGAAATCACCTAATTCTTAAATGTAATAATTAATCAATATTTTTTTAAGTTTATTTCTTCCATGAGCAAGAGAGACATCTCAGAGAAAGTAAAGGGGTGAGAGAGAACACACCCAACAGCATACATACAGCGACCCCAGTAGCATCTTGGAACCACATCTACCCTCACCCTCAACCATCCCCAGATCACGGACATGTGTGTGCCCACGTACACAGGGAGATCTTTGGGTGGGAGCCTGAACCTTCCCACGTGGGTCAGCCTTGCAGAGTATTGAGTTGTATCTCTACTACTCTCCAGTCCCGATTTTTTTAATACTGTGAAAACCAAATGGAACATTTTTAGGGGTGGGTCCAGACTCAGGACTACAGATCCTGTCCTCTGGCCTACATGTCAAGTCCCCTAAAAGCAGGTGCCACAGGCTTCTTCCTCTTTGAGGCAATGTATCATAGGAATTTGCTGACAGTGATTGTTATATGCCTAAGGTTAAGTGGTTAGACTAGCCCTATTTTAAACCAGTCAGTGGGTGGCAGAAATAAAGCTTATTCCTGCAAATGTCCCTTGGGGGCCTTTTCCATTACATCACCACTTATTTAAAGAGGAGACTATAAACAGCCCTCTGGATTACTTATTATTAATTTTGTTAGGGGTGATAGAGGGCTTATGATTATCTAAGAAAATAACCTCCTTTTCTTTGATAGCTGCCTACGAAAATTTAGAGGTGATGATACATATTTCCACAAAAAACATAAATTAAATATGATGATAATTAAACCTAGGTAATGGAACGTGACCAATCATTGTGTAAGTTTAAAGGTATTCTCTTTATTTGTATATGTGTGTTAAATTGTTATACTATTAAGTGAAGCAGGGGAACCTTTTGAATAAAGTTCCTGAATTCAAGGAGGTGAGAATGACCACTCTTGGCCTGGTGGTTTGTTGAGTGATTATCAACAACATTGTTGACCATGACGTCATCTCTCAGCCATTTTCCCACATGGTTAGAGCATTTCTCTGGGGCCTTTTTTCAGACACGGACAGCTGTGAGAGGTGGATGAGCTGCAAAAGTGAGTTTTTAAAGAAGTACATGCACAAGGTCATCAATGACCTGCCCAGCTGCCCCTGCTCCTACCCCACTGAGGTGGCCTACAGCACCGCCGACATCTTTGACCGCATCAAGCGCAAGGACTTCCGCTGGAAGGACGCCAGCGGGCCCAAAGAGAAACTGGAGATCTACAAGCCCACGGCCCGATACTGCATCCGCTCCATGCTATCCCTAGAGAGCACCACGCTGGCTGCCCAGCACTGTTGCTATGGTGACAACATGCAGCTCATCACCAGGGGCAAAGGGGCGGGGACGCCCAACCTCATCAGCACGGAGTTCTCAGCTGAGCTCCACTACAAGGTGGACGTCCTGCCCTGGATCATCTGCAAGGGCGACTGGAGCAGGTATAACGAGGCTCGGCCTCCCAACAACGGGCAGAAGTGCGCGGAGAGCCCTTCTGATGAGGACTACATTAAGCAGTTCCAGGAGGCCAGGGAGTATTAAAGAGACTGGGAGGAGATGGAGAGATGCCATCTCTGCTTTTGTGACACAGACACACTGCACTGATCTGCTGACCGGCGCCATTCTTAGTCACATATGTGTATAGTTGTATATACCACATGAGTATTTTCAAAAATGACTCCAGGGTGTGCGCCAGGCCAGTGGAACTGCCATCTGAAGCCACCATTGCCATCTGCGATAGCCTACAGACCCGTTTAGAAGTCTTCCTTGGGGACAAGGGGGCAGGAGGATGGGGACAATAAAGAAGCCAGAAAAAGATCCTGGAGCTATAGTGGGTGTGGTTCAATTCAGACCGGAACGGGTGTTTCCAGAAGAAGTGAAGGGAGAAAGAGATTGAAATTGTAAACATTATAAGCAGTTTTATATATAACTTATTTAATACAAATGTGACTTAAGCATAACCTTTTCTCTGGAGTTGTCATTCTGAAACTGTTAAATCGCTTCTGTGAGAATTCAGAAAAAAAGAGGCTTAGGAAAGTGGAAGAGAAAGGGAATTTTGCAATGATTTTGCTAAAAATAAATAACAAGAAAATGCCTACCTGAAGCTAAATGTTACTTAGTCATAAGGCACCTTGTAGAGTCTCAGATTCCAAAGTTCTCTTGCCTCAGACTGGGTAAGGCATGAGGAATATGCAAGGGGTAAGTACTTTAGAAGCAACCTGAGGCTTCATTTTAAATGAGCTTTAAAATAAAAGACCAATATTAGCATAATACCATGAGTCTACCAAAAGAACTAAAACAGTAGAATTTTTGCTCCTGTCTTAGTAGGTTCAGAAGACTGCAGGAAGTTCGGACGTAAAAACAGTAATAGCACTTTTCTAAAGAAAAATATATATATATTGAGTTGTCAGAAAAGCCATGATGTGCTTTTCTATGCAAAAACACATCATGCCTTCTGACAGCCCAATAAATGGGAAAAGAATATGGCCTTCATTTCATCTATTTGATCTTATTATCAACTCAACATTTTTTTTTCTCTACCAAAATAATCCCATTAAAAAAATAGAAAAAGAAGCGATGTGGCTCAAGTCTGGGAAATCTTAAAATTTTTATATTTTAAAAAAGGGGAAAAAACTGCATTATTTTTGTAAAGTATTTATTGAGTCATTGGATCTTGTACATCAAGCAACTGTAATATGACTTGGTTCTGTAGCATGGAACTTAGGACAAATAAAGAGTTGATTCTTAAGCAATTTTTGACTTACAAAACTCCAGAAAAAAGAATATATAATAAAAAATCATAATAAACTGTATTATCTGCATTCTCAATTTATGATACAAGTATCATAAAGAGTCCTAGTGAAACAAGGGTTCGAGGCACGGGGGGAGGAACATTGGACACAGGTGGAAATGAGGGTTCACCGTCTGACATGATGGTGGGTGGGATAAATCATAGCACCTTCGGCACCAACAGCCTGTACCCAGACCCCAGCAGGTAGAAGCCCATTGACATGTGTGACGTTTTGCCCACCTAGAGCTAAGAAAGCCAAAGCAGAGCAAAGGCTTATGGCAATAAGATAGTCCAGGCAAGGGGAGCACTTCAGACAAAACTCTGTGATTACGGTAGTAAGAAGAACCACCCGTGTTGCTTTCCCAGATGTGAAAAGCCAGAGCTTTGAGAACATAAACCACACTGCCTCATCTTTCATTGCCTAGCCCAGTGCCCTTTCTACTGTACCGCATTTTGGGCATCCTCGCATTCCTGGTGCCTTTGGCATTGCTGACTTACCCTTAGTCCTGATACAGCCCTGTTCTTGAGCCAGCAGTGGCATGGTGGTGAAGGCACTGGGTCCAGACTGCATGGTTGAAGTCCTGGACCCAGTGACTTGAAAATCATGCTGGTCACATGTTCATACATGCCCAAAGTCTGAAAAATATGGAGAAGGGATTGTGATGTGGCCATACCCCAAGAAGGGTGCTTTCTCATTCTCTCTCTCTCTCTTCTCTCTCATGCACATACACCCTCTAGCATTTTTTTTTTTGCTCTTATCCTTTTTTACTCTAGAATTATTTATACATTAGAACATATTGGCAATCAGGATGTGTATATTTAGGCTTTATGTCTATCTATGGAATGTGAACATCCTATGCAATTGTACTAGGAGGGAGACAATCAACAGGTCCATGTATCAAAGACACTAACCTGCTATTTCTAATAATGGGAAAACTGGTTTTACACAAAGAGTTGGCTGGCAATAGAATGCATGCTTTGAAATGAGTTCCCTGTCAACACAAATATTCAAGCAGATGCTAGAGAGTGTGCACATGAGAAATTTAACTAAGTGATGCAGAAAGACAAAAAGACACAGGTCAAGACCCTCTGGTATGTGTTTAATTGAGGGTAAGTGCAAAGTACGATGGAGACATAGTGGCAGGAATCAGGGAAGTACCTTTTGGTTCTAACAGAGGGTTGGTATGTGGTTTAGAAAACAGAAAAGAAGGAAGGGGACATGGATGCACTCAGAGTTAAGAAAATGCTATGGACAAAGGTAAGGAAATAGGAAAGAGCTTGGTGTTTTCTGAAAAGCGAGATGTTTGGAATGATGAGTTGAGGGACAGCAGTGGGTAGATATTACACCACATCTAAGGTGTTTTTGTTAAGGATTCAGCATGAAATCGTAAGTCTTTTATACTGTAGTGAGAATGACTGAAAAGAGCAGTTTTCTATGGGCTATTTGCCTTTACTATCAGACCTTGCTGACCTAACGAACTGATTAGAAGGTAGAGTGAATTCAGAGCAGGGTGGTGTACCAGGAACCTTTCCCTACTGATAACCTGGTCTCCCAGACACCAGGATGGTCCTACATCTCTGAAAACTTGCTGAGCGATAATCTGCCTCTGTGAGGATCTCATTTTCAGTCCTAAGAAAGGGACACACAAGTGATGGTCACTGTCCAGGTTACCCAATAGGACAAGGAGGCCCTTATCTCACTTAGAGCAGCCCCTACACCAGCTCCAGAGCAACCCCAGGTGATTCCCTCTGGGTAGTGGGTCATTTGCTTACAGACCTGCTTTACCTGCAGCAGCATCAGCTGTCAGCAGCCTCACTGACAGGGCCTGTGAATATGAGCCCTCAGCAGCTGATCAAATGCCCCTCTTTGAATGCAGTGCTCATTTACCTCTCCCTACAAAGCCAGCTTTTTTGTAATAATCCACTGCATGTCACTGAATGCTTCTTGAATGCCACATCCGAACAAGCCAACGGTGGTGATGAGAGCTGTCCAAGGCCCTCTAGTGGCTGCATGTGGGAAAGTGGAGTGAGAGGCCCAGGAAGTGCATGGCTTTCTCTCCAGCCCCAGTTCCAGCACTTGGAAGATGTGGTTATAGTCTCCCAGGTGATCCGGTCTTTATATCTCAGTGGCCAAGAGGGTCGAGTCCCCTGTCCTAAGACCAGGGACTTAAAAATAGTTACTCTACCAGCCACCATTATCTGAACACATACCTTGGGCCAAAGTGCTAATCACTGCTCGAGGCAGACGTTTTTACCCACTTTACAAATGAGAAGAAGACCTGGCTTTGTTGCCCATGGTCATCCTGATCTGTAAATGGCAGAAGCCAGGTCTGTCTGATCCATACCCTGAAACATAACCCCTGTTCTCTGCTCTCTTGACTCTTCCTAAGATCCGCAGCATTAGTGCTTTTCTGTGACTCTAATTCTACTTAAATCGTTCAAAGAGGATGGAGCTTCATCTCTGCGTGTTCTCCTCAGCTCTCTCATGTTGCATAAAGAGTCTCTGATTCTGAGTTGAGCCCTTGGTCAAGGTGAGTGAGTAGCAGGACTCGACATTAACCAGAGGATAGTCCACTCCATAGACAATTTTCCCACTACACAAAGCCTAGTGGGTAGATTAGGGCAGGAGCTGTGTCTCGTGCCATCCTACACTCCCAGCTCCCCGTACTGGCCCTGGCACATGTAGGGTTAAGGTTTGGATCAAGCCTCCTAGATTGCAATTCTGTTCCCTGCCCTTGCCTGCTCAGTATCTTTGGTAAGATAACCAGCCTCTCTCAGTTTTAGTTTGCTCACATGGTTGTTGTGAGAATGAAATAAGGTACATGAAGTTCTCAGCTCAGGGCCTCTCATGAACCGTGGATAGTGAAGGCTGGGTCACCCAGTGAAGATTGACTGAGCACGTACTAGGTGTTGAGCATTGTTCCAGATGCCAGAAATATGGAATGTACAGGTCAAAGTTCCTCATTTGAGAGGGTTCTGGATAAATGAGTAAATAATCTGAGAAAATGACAAATGTTCCAAAGACATACTTTTTTTTTAAAGAGGTTTTTGCTATAGGGTGCCTGCACTCGCCAGACAGACAGAGAGAGACAGAGAGACAGAAAGTGGGAAATCACCCCCCAGGGGGGATGGACATGCTGCAATCCGTTCTCCTCTTGGGATCTTGGGCACGCACGCACACGCACCTGGTGTGAGTTTTAAGCCACCAGGTCCGGGACTCGAACCACGGTCAACTACATGGAAGTCCAGCGACATAGCCATTACGCTAACTGCTGGTCCCACAAAGACATACTGGTTTTTTTTTTTTTTTTTTGAGAGGTTTTCGCTATAGGGAAAAATTGTTGGTTTTTTTTTTTTTTTTTTTTTGAGAGGTTTTCGCTATAGGGCGCGTGCACTCGCCAGACAGAGAGAGACATAGAGACAGAAAGCGAGAAATCACCCCCCAGAGGGGATGATCATGCCGCAATCCCTTCTCCTCCATTCTCCTCTCGGGATCTTGGGCACGCATGCACATGCGCCTGGTGTGAGTTTTAAGTCACCGGGTCCAGGACGCGAACCGTGGTCGACTACGTGGGAGTCCAGCGACATAGCCATTACGCTAACTGCTGGTTCCCAAGACATACATTTTTGATCACTCAGTTATGATATTACTTTTTTTTAAGGTTTTTGCCATAGGGTGCATGCACTTGCCAGAGAAATAGAGACAGAGAGAGGGAAAATGAGAAATCAGCGCCCAAGGGAGATGGCCACACCTCAGTCACTTCTCTTCCATTTTCCTCCAGGGATTTTGGGCACACACACACACACACACACACACACACAGGCGCTTGGTGTGATTTTCAAGCCACCCAGTCCAGAACCCAAACTGCAGTCGGCCATGTGGGAGTACAGAACCTTAACCAGTACACCACTGCTGGCTCCACTATGCATTATTTCAGGTGACGCTGGTTGCTATACTAGATAATGCTCAAAATCACTATAGTTTAATACAATAAAAGTCTAGCGAGTATGTTTCTGGTCATACAAGTGGGCCCTCCTCAAAGTAATGACCAGGGCCCTGGACTCCGTGAATCCTGTGGCTCTGCCATCTCCACGGAGCTGCATTCTAGGATGCTTTGGGGATCATCTCTACTCCAGCCTATGTGAAGAGTCAAGAGCAGGGAGAATGTGCGCAAAGGTTTTTGAAGACCAGACAGCCCCGTGCTATACATCACTTGCCCTCACTCTCTGCCATACCCTTCTGCAAGGGAGACTGGGGAATGGAGTCCAGCTGGGAGCCCAGGAAGCAGAGACCATCTCTGGAAAACCAGCCAGCACCTGCCACTGAGACAGACCACAGCTACCCGATTATACAAAGCAGGAAAGAAAGGTAGTGGAAAGGGCTCTGTGTGAGCCCCAAAGTAAGTGGCCAAAGGAAGTGATTCTTCTCACCTCTCCCCTGTCTTCCACAGTGTATCAGAGTGCTTAGCTGGACCTCAGTCTTCTTATCTGTAAATTGAGATAAGACTACCTGTTGTCTCTTCATGTTGGCAGGTGCTTTAGGTATCCTAAATAGCCCCTTGGCATTTTCCCCTGTCTGCTCAGACTGGCCAAGCTCTTAACTGGCAGTTCCTGCAAGTCTTTACCTGATGCCTTTTTTTAGCTCATGGGGTCCACTCAGCTTGTACAGAAGCAGATGGAAGTGCCAAGGGCTGACACCAACCCTAGGAGCCCCGAACAGCTGACTGACAGGCACTACATGAATGAATACCCCAGACTTCCCTCTTCAAGTGGGGCAATTATGAAGCATATTTTATACCATTCCTGGGACTCTCAGTGGGATTGAGCGCCAGTCACCCGTGTTAGTAAGCAGCTTGGCAACACGCACTTTACTGGCCTCCTTTCCTTCCCTGTCTCTCCATTTCTTTACTGGTACTGGCTGGAATCATATCTCAAATGAGCCACTTGCTCAGATCCTCTTCTCCTCTTCTCCTGGGGGATTCCAAGCCAAGAAATCACTTCCTGTTTTAATATTGATTAAAA